GAAATCCGAATTGTTAACGAATCTTCTGTCGCAGAATGTGCATTTGAGTGGCTTTTCTTCGTTATGCATTCGTTGTTTGTGCTTTAATAAAAGGTTTGGCTGGCGAAAACTTTTTTGGCAAATTTCACACTGGTATCTTTTCATTGGCAAATGAGTGGGCCTATGCTTTATCAAACTTTTGCGACTGGAACATTTCAGACCACAAATATCACATTCGAACTGGTTGATTCCATGCAAGTCTGCTAAATGCTTGATTGCCATCCACATTGGTCCGAAGTATTTGCAAAGTGTGCACTTATATTTACGATTTTTTGTATTTTTTATCAAATGAGAGTGTGACTGCTGTTGATGCTTGTTTCTTTCATCGATCTGAGGGAATCTTTCGCTACAGTATTCACATCTGAATGGCAGAGAATGCTTGCGCATATGTTGCCGTAAGGAATAGGAGTTACTAAGAATTGTCTTGCAATCAAAACATTGGAATATCTTTGTATTTACTTCTGCTTTTTTGATCATATCTTTTGGGTGTTGAATGCGCATATGTAATTCTATACTACTTTTGTTTGAATATCTATAGTTGCAAAGGTTACATTTGAATGGTAAAACGTTTTTGGTTTGTCCTTCTTGACATGTTCTCATGTGTTTCCGGACGTCAGAATGATTTCCCGAATACTTGCATCGATAACATTCAAATGTTCGAATACCTTGGAATTGTTCGTGCAAGCCACCTGTCGATTTGTCCTGTTGTCGAAGCAGATCGAAATGCTCAGTCCGAACATGAACGCCCAGTTGAACCTTCTTGAAGAATCCTTTATCGCAAAATGTACATTTATGCGGCTTTTCAATCTTCATCTTTTTTATCGCTTCATTTGTCAAAACAACTGAATGAACATTGCGCATGTGATTCCTTAGAGTTTGGATCGCTGTGTATCGAATGCCACATAGCTCACATTTGACTGTTCTAATTATTTCTCTCTTTCCGCGACACACTTTCATGTGTCTCTTTAGCCCCGTAAAACTCGCTACAAGTTTGCATCGGTAACATTCAAATGTTCGAAAACCTAGGAATAGTTCATGCAAACCGCCCGTTGATTTCTCCTGTTGTCGAAGCAAACTGAAATGTTCACTTCGTTTATGAATCCTAAGATAATACTTACTGCAGAACGCTCTGTCGCAAAATGTACATTTATTTGATCTATGTGGTGTCTCTTGATGTGCTGTTTTCTGATGATGTTTAAAACCATCTGGACTGCAAAAATTTTTGTGACAAACCTTACACTCAAACAGTTTCCTTGACGAGTTATGTTTCTCATTGTCGTGGCGCGTTAAATCGGACTTTGTCATAAATGTCTTGTGGCAAATGTCACATCCGAATCGTTTTCTTTTTTGTGAATGAACGAGCTTATGCCTGTCCAAATGAGCCTTTAAACCGAAAGTTTTTTCACATTTGTCACATTTTAGTGTTTTTTCAGCATGAACCGATTTATGTTTTTTCAAGCCATCTGCGCGTGCAAATTTTTTCTGACAAATCGTGCACTCGAACTGTTTCTTCTCCGAATGAATGAGCTTATGCCTAGCTAGATCCGCTGGATCAGTGAATATTTTCCCACAAAATTTACATTTAATTGCTTCTTTAGTTGTGCCATCGCCATTTGACCCATCATTGTCCAAAGGTTCTATTTTCGGTTTGATGTCAGTTTCCTCGCCCCAAATCGATCGCAAATGATCTCTTATGCTTACATGTTGATAATAGTTCACACCGTCTTCAATTTCACTTTCAGCCGTTCTATATATCACTTCGTGGTCGTTTAGCCTCGGATCTGGCTCTTCTTTGATTCGAACCATGTTTGCACGATGAACATGGAGATGTTCTCCGTTCAAATGTTTAGTTTAGACTGATATAGTGGATGGAACGAAGGGCGTCTTATAAATATCTTTAGTGATAGAATTTAATGGGCGAGCATTGGTACCTGCTACACTGCAGCATCGATGTGACACCGTGCTGTGTTTACTGGCGAGAGTTTGAAGTTTCAGAGAAGAACCTAAAATTTTACCTTCTTTGATAATATTTACCATAAGTGCGGTAGTTATACTATTTGTTTTAATCCAGGCTTAGCTGGATTAACTTATTTTCTGCAAATACTTCAAATTTTGTTCCCTCAGTTTTTCGATTATTATTCTATAAGTGTACATTTTTCGGGCAAAGTTTCGACAGTTTTTTGTTCAAACTGAAACCATTTAGGATAATCCTCAGGTATACCATATTCGATTCTAAAAAGCCACGAACTGATTTATAGTAGAACCAGTGAAAATGAAATTGAACTACTATCAACATATTAACATAAGAAGTGTTTTTCTAAGATCAATTTGGATTGACTTCGAAGTGGATGACAAATCGTACACACATTGATATCGATTGGTGCCTTCAGCCCAACATAAAAAATTGCTTGTCAATTGAGTGAAGATGTAGTCGAATTTGTAAATGCAACAAAATTGATCTGAAAATATGCAGAATTTCATCAAGAAGATACTACATCGTGCATCTTCGTTATTTGGTCTCAAGAGATTTGTGATCATCGGATAGAATTGATCACGGAAAAGCTGTGTGAAGAGTTATAAAGACGATAACAATGGACAATGTGAATGCGATTATTCTCACAAATCATTTCAACTTAAAGCCAATTTGTGGGCGCACATGGCTTTTTATAAAGAAAGTGTTCCATACTGCAGCTGATGCAAAACCCTTTGCAATTCTAGGGGCTTTTTACTCGTTCACATACGTGCGCATAGTTTGCGTGCTACAGTGAAGAGCAGCGTATTTTGCACATAGTCACGAATATTACGCATAGAAGCCAATACACGTGCACATAAAGACGCAAAATCTGAAAAAAGGGAACAAATCTGATGGGGCCTCACAAAAATTAAAATTTTCTAGTATTCCTTCTATCATCAATTTTACAGCAGCATCGGCAAACGTTATATAGCCAGCACATAGTTTTACAGTGTTTCTCTTTGACAGTATACCCAATGATTGATGCAAATAAATTGTTCCTATGAAACATCATATTTTATGACCTAGTCGGGCCCATTATTTTCTTCTAGCTCTAACAGGATCATAAAATAGTTTACAATCGAACCGCAACCTATGCATAACACTAACAAAACAAAGTAAAATACGAATTTGCGATGAGCTCATTCAGTGAAGTTTATTTCAATTCGTTTACGTCGTTAGACGCATCCATGAACGCGACTGAATGAACTCATCAACAATGTTCTGTAATGAAAAACTGTATATTAGGAAACAATTGAATAAATTAGTGAAACTAGCGTTGGTATCTCTCCCCTTGAACGATTCACATACATACATCCACAAACATAATTACTCTTCTACTTCGCAACAAAAACTTCTCTTGTAAGAGACCATTGGCTCTTCAACGTTTGTGTGAACATCAGCTGTCTCTCTTGAAAAAGCACTCTGATTTTTAATAATTTATTAAAATTCATTCGTTCATTGAAATGGCAAATAAATTAAAGAATGGAGCTGCTTTCGAAGCGAACACAAAATTATACCCGAACGGAGACATTCAAAAGGTTCCGGCTAACAAAGGCAATCCCCAGTCCAGTGTTCGAAGTAATGTTCTATGGGTCATTAAAGGAAAAATGAGATATTGAAATCGCTGATGCAGACGTCAAAGGATTCAGAGAATTTCTCCAAATTTTCTATCTTGGTGAAGTGAAAATAACCATGGAGAATATTGAGACCGTTGTTCGTTTGGCCGACAAATACGATTTCCTCGAATATATCAACGCTGGCACTGGGTTTTTCAAAACCCAACTCACACTGGCCAACGTGTGTTGGGGCTATCAGTTGGCCTTGAATCTCAAAAATGAAGATCTGATCGACTTGTGTGAAGATAAAATTGCCCGAACGCCGAAAATGTTTTCGGCACTGAGTCATTTAAACGCTGTGATAAAAGTACTCTTCACCGCATTCTGGAACTGAATTTGATTTGCAAGAAATTTGATTTGCTGATGTTTTGGATGCATGCCTGGTGTAGGCCAAATACTCGTGTGAACAAAACGATTTGGATGCAAATCAGGCGGTAAATTTAGGAATTTAACTCGGTGATTGTTTGAAGTTGATTCAATTCTACACTGCGTAGGGGTGACTGGGTTCTCATTTAGTAGTTACATTTTACAATGCGAGATTCGATCTGCGCATTGACCCATAATGGTTCATCTGGAATAGTTCGAGATGTACCAATAACTATCACCGAATACCACATTTTTCGAAGAATAAATGAGATTCTTTACAATGGGACATCCAAAATATGGGTAGGCAGTAAATACCGACAGCTAGTAGTGAGCTCGCCACAGCCAATTCGGATTGAGCAAAACAAATTGTATTACGTTCACTTAAACATTCGATCACCTAATGGAACCTAATGGAAGCTCAGTGGGAATTCCTCAGTGGGAATGTATGATGAGATCCAGATTCTGTTTGAACGAAATGCAACCCTGGACTACGATAAGCTTTCGAATGGCTTGATTACTGATTATAGATATAGAACATAGATTTAGAAAAATAGTGTAGTTACTAACTACTAGTTCGCTACAATCATAGTCAAAAATGCCCCGATATAACCACCTGGCCAAAAATGACACGAACAATTTCACATAATTACACCTTAGTCGACTTCTTTTTATACAACACTTCAGCTCAGTCAGTTAGTTATTTATAGTGTTTAAAATTTCTGGAAGGTATTTGTCATATTGTCAACATTGAAACATTCATGCTTATTCCCTTCTTTATAATGGTAAATCACGCCCATTTCAATGTTGCTATTGTTCATGAGCTAAATGCGTTTGAATGGAATTCGTGAAGAAAAAAAAATGGCTAGTATGATTCGAATTTGCAATAATCAGGTGAAAAAATGACGTCAATTGATTAATAATTGGTCAATCGATAAGATAAGCACTTTTAGCGTGAACCACGAGTGAGTGTCCTCAATTCAATAGTAATGAACTTTATTTTGAACAGATTGGAAACATAAATATCACCTTTGTAACACGCAATTTGGATTACATGTTTGGAAGTGTTTCGAGCCCGTCTTGCGTTCAAATCGATTAACTAATTGAATAGCACCAGAACGGAACCAAACGTACAAAATTCAATTGATTTAATTGTGCAAATTAAAATGAAAAGTCTTTGTTTGAGTTTTATTGCCATCATCGTGCTACTTTGTGCATTGAAAACAAGGTAAGTTGTGTGATTCTGACAGTCTTCATATGTACTCAGTAGCCAGTAGATTTGCAAATATCCAACATCTGGGATAACATTGTAACCCTTATTAATGCTCATTTCAAAAAATTTGGTGATTCGAACCAACAAGAAGAACGACAAAGACGCTGACACATAGTTAACATTAGAATTGTATATTTTGAAACACAAAGCTAATTATTTGATTATTATTTTATTCATTTATTCACATATTTTTCACTATATCGGTTTTATGGATTTCATTTTAAGATATTATTGGTAATAACATAGTTGAGTTGAATTCGGAATGTGCGTTTATCTAATCTAACTGAACTGCGAATATTCAAACAAAGAAAGCAATAAAATTCCGAAATTCCGATCGATAACTGTTACGTTTTTTCATGGAACAAACTATATGTATCTAAATAAAAGTCCATTATTACTGATACATATTTAATATGATAAAACACGTTTAAAAAAAGTTTTAAATTGTACGATATATATACCTAGAACGGTCTATTGTGAACTTAATTTTTATTCTACCTTTCCTAATTTGCTTTTATAATTAGCGGCGAATCGTATTATGATGACTACAGTTATAAGGATTATGAAAGTAGTGAAGACTCAGTCACCGACATATCGTATCCTGCAACTACGATCCAAACATCATCTGATCTTACAACTGAAGGCAAAGTCATACACATAGGGGACCCATTAACAAAAGGTTGAAAATAAAGTTTGAAAAAAAAAAAACAATAATCCTTCTGAAAAATGACCAACCATATAACAATTTCAGAATTAAAATGCCCAAAGAATTGTAAATGCTCGGACGGATTTTATCTAGTGGATTGTTCGCATCGAAATTTAATCGAAATGCCAAAAAATGTGCCCTACAATACGGTTCAGCTAAACATGAGTCATAACTTATTGACAAAGCTTGATGTCAACGATTTGATGAATTGTACTGAGTTGAGGCAAATATTTCTGCAAGAAAATCGAATTGAAACCATTGTCAACGCTGAAGTGAGTGATATAAAGAAAAACTTAGAAGAATGAGCATCATTTTAATGATTTACTCTATAGAATTTTGCCAGATTACCGTTTTTACATCAAATCAATCTATCCAGAAATGCGTTGAAACCATTGCGCGGAGATGAATTTTCCCATGCTAAAAGTTTAGCCGCACTACTTTTGACGAACAATCAAAATGTAGTTGCAGCCAATGTGCCAATTATTCAGGCTCCAAAATTGAAAACATTGAATTTAGCTAATTGCAGCATCGATCAGTTCTCGGATAACACGTTCCAGAATCTATCATCTTTGGTGGCTCTATACTTGGACAATAACCCACTCGATTTGGTATGGCGTTCACAAACATAAAGTGTAGTTCTCAAAACCTTAGCTATTTGATTAGCTATTCGCAATATTGGACTGAGTTTCCATTCTCTTTATTAAGGCAAAAAGTATGGATGCATTTAATGCGCTAATTAACCTACGAACATTGAGCATCCCAACCGTGAATCGAGATGAAGCATTGGATTTATGTCGTAATTTGAATGCCATTGATATTATACACCTGAGTTTGGAGACACATGATATCAGTTGTTTTCTGTTCACAACTGGATCGACATATGAAGAAAGTCTGATTCCATCTATGAAAGTTCCAACTGATGCACCTTCAACGAGCACTGAACAGACCGCCAGCTTAGCCAACAGTAATGCTACTGAAACAATGAATAATGACACAAACAAGGGTACTGCATATGATCAAATGTGCATGATCTACATGATTATAAGCGGTAAACATAAACATGTCCTTTTTTTCAAACATTTCCTAACGTTTTATGGTTTTCGCAGGACTTGCTCTGCTTTTGGTTGTCGCTATCTTGATGGGATTCTGCATCATAGGCTCCAGACGATTTGGAACTGAAATGTTTGATCGCAAACGAAGCTATCGAAAGTATTACCCGGGTAATCTTACAGTTGACAATCAAAATTACGAAGCCTACGTCAAAGAAGATCTAACACCAATTTCATTGTCCGATGAATTTGAATCCAGTTCTAGATAGAAGATGAATGGTCAATAATAATGTGCAATAAAAACAAAATTTATGGTTTGATACAATTATCACTTTCAAGGCTGTACGTGACAATAAGCACGGGATATAAGAAATAAATTTTTTTTCGATAGATTCCAATGTGTTGACTGATGTTTATATTCTCTTATCTAAATCTGGAAAGTATTGTCACCAAAAAACAAAATGAAAATCGGTTCAAAATAACTTTAAATGGCATTTTGGTTTCGCTGATTCTCTTTGTGATCCAGGCTCGCTATTCTCCGAATTTCGTTGTCGGTCGAATTTTAAGGTGAATGCGTACTTGATATCGATGATCGTCAGTAAGTGACCAATATATATATATCTGTTTGAAAAAACATTTGAATCGGTAAGAATAATCTTGAACTGCCAAATTGAGTGAAAATAAATGTGAAACATAGAGTTTTTTTATATGGACTTTACAACAACAACTCCATATAAAAATCTCTATGTTTCACATTTATTTTCACTCAATTTGGCAGGTCAAGATTATTCTTACCGATTCATTTGGTAATTGATAATGTGTTGATTTTGTATTAATGAAAATATATCGTTTGCAATGTATCTTTTGAACTGATTACAATTTTTTCAATACGAATTCAATATATTCATCATATTTTTTTGCATTTGTTATTGCCACTTATTATAGTCTAAGGATAAATAATGTCTCACGAGAAATTCAATGTGGGTTTATAAATTCACGATTACTTCCGAAAATTTTCTTGAGAAATACGAAAAGAAATCGCTGACAAATAAAGAATGATTGAAGGTGTTCAAAAAAGAATGATTCGATCCCGAAGATTTCCTTCGATACTAAAATAACTGACAGAATTTTCATTTATGCTTAATGCTGGTGACTGTATAGAAACCGATATTTGGGTTAACAATACTATTTTCTTGTTTGACTATGAAGCAACGAAATAAAAGAAAATTCGAAAATATTCCAATAAATTATTCGTTCTCAACAGTGGCGGAATAATTTAAAATAATTCATAATGTATATATTAGTTTATAACGACTTTAAAAAATTGCATTGCATTGCCTGCATTTCCTTCATTTCATTGCATCGGGTACCGTTTATTCACTTCTATATACTGTGAAACTTGAGTCGTTCGTTGATTACATTGCCCGAAACGTCAAAGTACACTTATACATCCGCACACTGCATAGTAAACGATACGTTGACGTTTCGTTGCCACAAAAATGCACATGCATTTACTGATAATGCATCTATACAAAAAACAGTGTATACGTTAAATTGCCCATTTTGAAGTGTTGCCTCATTGAAGGTCCATGTTTTTCTGATTTTGAATGAAGCTCCGAAAAAATTACCGACATCCTTGATATTGTAATAGTTCGAAATCAATTTTAAAACCTAGTTTAATTCATATTTAAATTATAGGCAAACATTTGAAATTTTTTAATTTTAATGGAAACGAAAATGAATTTATTTGATAACGCAAATTTGGAAACTCAATAGATTTTTCAGAGTTTCTTATAGAATGTTTGAAAGCAACACATTTAGGTGTTGTTTGCTATTTTATAACAAACACTATAATTGAAACGCTAAATGAAATGTAGATAAATGATGGTTTTGACGAAGCTTGAAAATTTTCATTTCGAATTGGTGTAGTAAATACACATTTTCAAGCTTCGTCGAAACCATAATTTGTAAATTGAAAATAATGTTTTATGGCCATCTTCTTGTTAACCTAGATGATAATAAAATATGACCCAAAAAATAGTTTTGCCATAAAAAATTTCATAGTTTGAAACACGAAATGGATATAAAGAAAAAACGAAGTTAGTCATTTATATTATGCAATATAAATTTGATGTAACGGTAAAAAGTAATGCATCTTAATTAATTTTTTGAAAATATTCATAGGTTTCCAAATCAGAACTGTTTTTATATGATATTTCATATAACTAGATTTGTCCTCGGCATTTTGCTCGGAAATTGAGAATTTAAAAAAATTGAGAATTTGAAAAAGTCGATAGAATTTGCTGAAAATTTGTGGAATTTCGGCATAAATTGTTCTCAGAAAAATGAGCGGAACAAATGTTCCGATTTATCGAAACTCATTTTAACTTATCGGCATTTCTAGTACATAGAGAATCCGATAAATCGGAAGGATTGTTCACAATCGGAATAGAGATTCCGCTAACTTTTCTGAGAGTAGTATTCAAATAAATCGGGATTCGAGCAAATTGATCGAGAATTATGAAAAAAATTCCTTTGAATGCCTGAAAATTTCGCTTAAATCGGAAATAGGATGCCTATAATTTTGGTTGTAGTGTTTTTTTTTCGAAACTAGAATCGAAACATGTGCTAACGTAAAAAGTCCTTTCGTTGATGTTATATATAGAAGACTCATAGTTACCGAAATATAAATTTCGATTTATTGCTATGTGTGGTGACATGTTCGCGAAAAATGGTTGAAAATTGGTGTTAAATAAAAGGCAGACAAATAGATTTGATATATTATTTTAATTATTAAATTTTTTACAGTGAATTGTTTAAATATATTTGTTTCGAAACTAAGTTAATTAAATATGATTAAAATGTACACTGCCAACAAATAGTTTGTTCAGTTTTATTCGTACATAGTACGTACATATTCATTTTAATTACAATTTTCTACGCATGAAAATGAAATTAAAAATTGAAATCAGAGAAAACATCAATTTACTCATTATATCTCTGGCCGTTTGTCATTTTGCTTATCTCTTTATATTTTTTTTACTAAAACTTCTATGTATAAGTGGCTAATATGAAAAAGTCATATTAATTGGGAAAAAAATCCTTTACAGCCTTAGCCTAGTTTACACTTCAGCGAAGATTTTCTTTTAATTTCATAACAGCATTTGGTTCAGTAACGGATCCAATAACCTCGATATCAAAAAATTAAATGTTTTTCGTAATCTACATAATTTCTAGTTAATTAAGATTTTCAAGACAAACAACAAACTTTCTGGTGATGAAGAACATTCAAACTATTGTTACTGAACCAATGCATCATTGGATATACATTTTTTTTTCTCTTCAAAATGCTAAAAATTTCTGACGAAATCATGCATTGCGATTCATTTACAATTTATTTGTTTGTTAATGCCGTGAAATTTGTTCATTGCCGAACTGTAAACTAAGCTTTAGTTAAATTTAAATTGATCAGTGCTTGGACTTTATTTTCAATTTTCATTCGTATCTCTATATTCTATTATGTATGACAATATCCAATTAAATTAGTGAAATTGATAAGCAATACATTGTGTGATAAACTGGGATAAATTTGGGTAAATGATTCCTTTTAATTGATCGCACATACGAATTAAATAACTTGTTTTGATTACACACTAAACTTTGTTTGTGACCAGGGCATATGAGCTTTGCAAACAGCTCAATAGAGGTCATTGATGGCTCTCTTGTCGAACGGAATTTAAAAAATCTGCAAAGATAAAAAAGCAACGAATTAGTTTGGAGGCCAGAAGAAAATGCGTCGATATCATTTAAAATGAACCATTTTCGAAATAAGTGTCGTTTAAGGTTGAATCCTGTTCTTACCTTAAATTAAATGTTGTGTGTCGACAGCTAGCCGTGATAATATTCATGCTTGCAAAATCGATTGTTAACTTTGGATTTTCTGTTTCTTAGTGTATTGTTGGTTGTTTCGCTTCATTGGCCATATACTGCAGTCATTTTTCACGTAGTGTTCAGATCACTTCCGATATAAAACATTATTTACATTTCATTATTTACACGAGGACGTTAAAATTGGTCGTTTTTTCCGTCGATTGCTGGGGCGCTTCGTTTGTAATTCTTGACTTATTGTCGACGCAAGCTCTTGAAACCAAAGGAATGAGTACTGAGTTGATCTTGGTGAAGGAACGTGGTCGATGATGTGCTGTTGGCTGAGATGTCATTTTGTGCTCCACTATTGCCACTGCCGCATCCATAGTCGCTATTAATAACGCTGCTATTGCTTGCATTACTCGTATTACTGCTACTGAACAGATGCATTTGAGGTCCTCTTGGTGGCAATGGAGGAGCAATTGATTGTCATAATTCCGTAATAGGTGGACATGGACGATGAATTGGTGTGTAGTAGTAATGGTTCAATGTGGTTGGGTGTGCAGCCAAATTGCACGGATGCTGATTAGTTGCTTGTGCGTACGTATGACGTGATAAAAATGAATCTTCGTCGTAGTAGCTCTTTTGATATTCACGCTCTTTTGGACCGAGTGGACTTGAATCCGTACAACGGCCCTTGAGAATTGCTCGTATTTGTCGACGATACCGGTACAAGAGCAAAGCAAGTGATGTAATAGTTGCTGCTACTCCAACTAAGAAAGTTCCAAACATTGCTTGGCGTCGCGATGTTGAATGCGAACATCCCAATAGGGACGGTGAGATTGCAACCAAGGGCTCGGCACGGAGGCGCTCGGGAGCGTGACAAAATATTGTGTTGTCTTGCTGATCGTTTGGCAATTGACTAGAGTTTTTCATAATAAGCAAATTTCGCAACCACAAGACCCGACAATCGCAAACAATTGGATTTTCCGATAAATCGAATGTGAGCAGCTCACTCCATGGGAACAGACCTTCGTCGAGCGTTGTCAATGCATTGTCACGTAATATAACATGTTTCAAGTGTGGTAACCCACTCAATGCTCCTTCCTGCACGTCTGTTAGCATTTTATTCGAGGCTATTCTGATCGACTCTAAATTTGTGTTGGTCGCAAATGCGCCGGCTTGAATTTTTCTCAAATGCATCGATCCGCTGATTTCCAAACGACGTAAGTTTTTCAATCCGACAAATGCACCCTCTGGAATGATTTCAAAGTCATTTTGTCCCAACGATAGGTCTTCCAATCGTGACAATTCGCTCATATGAATGGTTGGAATTCGTTGCAAACGATTATCGGACAATTGCAATTGGCGTAGTGAATTTTCGAGTCCGTGGAAAGCGCCCAATGAAATATTCAATAGAGCTGCTCCATTCAAATCCAAACTAGTTAAACGAGTAAGCATTTGGAATGCACCAGTCGGTATGGTGCGGAATGAATTGATGCCCAAGAATAATTCGGCCAAATTGGTTAACGGTGCTAGCGCTTCGGATGGAACAGCCGATAACTGATTATCATCAAGGACGAGAACGCGCAAATTGGGCAAACCGTCGAAAGCTCCAATGTCAATGCGTGATATGCGATTTTGGCCCAAATTCAATTCTTCCAATTTTTGTAGCGCCGAAAAGGTTCCGCGTTCGATTGTGTCCAAAAAATTGCCTCTTAAATTCAATACCGTCAATGAATTGAGGCCAACAAATGTTCGATTGGTGATGGAACTAATTTTGTTGTGATTCAAATGTAATTCTTCTAATTTCTTTTGATAATAAAATGTCCGGCCCGGAATGTTGAATAGATGATTTATGCTCAAATCCAAATAAATGAGCTCAGCATAAAATTGGATGGATGAATCGATGGTCTTGATTTTGTTATTTTTTATTACTAAACGTTGTATTGACGGATTTAATGCGATTGGCAATACATCAAGCTGTCCTTCGCCACAGTTGACGACCAGCGTTCGGTCATCACATTTACAGCCCTGCGGACAATTGGCCAGTCCTTGCACTTGTGCTCCCAGGATGGCTACGATAATCAACACGTGAACTAGCATCTTTGATATTTTTGTCATTAATATTTCCATAATGATTCAAGTGGTCCGGTGTTCGGATGTTATCTGGGAAATAGAAAAAAAATCAAATTAAAATTTATAATTTATGAACTCGTTTCGAGTGAATAGAAACAAATTTTTTATATTTTATTGAAACAATCGATCGATTATGACTAACATCCAGTCTGAAAATTATTTGTCATTTGTTCTCCTTAATTGCATCTTCTGATTATCTTCCATAATATTATCTCCCTGTGCTCGCAACAGAATCGTAAAAAATACATTTAAAAGGCGATTTTCAACCATCGTGTAATTTTCACTGGATTTTTTCCCTTCAATAGTTTAGTTTCTCTCAAAGACACATTTAAGTTCCACTTGAAAATTTATTGTAGGCCTATTTTTATTTTCCAACAAAATTTATCTCGCTTTTCCTTCAACTGAGAAATTGAAAGATGTGAATTGTAAGCCGAGATAAGGATGGAGAAAAAAGAAGTCAGATGAAACTAGTGAATTTAAAATCAAAAGGCGAACAACACAAATCGTATATCGAGTGTATGAGAGGGAAACCCATAAAGAAATCAACAAAGAAAAAGTATAAAAACGTCTCAGTTGATAAAAGAATTGGATCCGAAGGAAAGAGGAAAGAATGGAATAGAAGTGAAGAATGTGGAATGGTGCAAGTATTATTCTTCGGTTAGATGGAATCATTGAGATAATGCTACATTACTAACGAGCTGCATACAGACATACAACAAACACTTTCAACGAATAGAAGCAGAAGGAATCGCCAATAACGAAGACGGCTCTGGTATTTTTAGAAAAAGCACTTCCACGTGAAAATAAATAAATAAATAAAATTAAATGATCTAGTGTAAATACAGCTCTCTGATCCATTCGCATACTCTAGTCCAATTCAATTCGTTTGGAGCCAGACAAAAGCAATACTGAATGTTTGGTTTATTATTGTATAATGGCAAACGATACACACATACATAAGCATGAATACAAATCTAAATTGGAATAAAATGTGAACCAAAATAATTCTGCTAAGCATTTTCAATCAATTCATTTTTTTTAAATCATCTATTTTCTACCTCTTTTCGTTGCTTTCAAAAACCGCTTATTCATTTTCTTGCTTACTCATTCATAATGCTCATCAAGTTGTCCTCATGAACATCATATATGATAACTGTTTGAGTGGAAATTTTGAAATGGTTTGATATCAACGAATAATCATCGTACATATATACATCACAGTATGTACCAATTGAAGCATTATTCATCAAATTAAGCACATACTTTGTATAGACACCGTACGATATAAAAACGGTCAAAAAGGACGTCTGCGATTGTCAAAAGAAAAGTTCTTCTCATTCAAAATTCTGTGAACATTTCACGTGTTTTAATACAACAATATTTTTTTGTTCTGAAATCTTAACGGGAGATATTTTTTTCTGGATCGCTGACAGTTTGGATCCGAAAATGATTAAGTCAAAAGCAAAGAATAAAAAACAACGAAAGAATCTGTGAATATCGATCGATTCGCATTAATTTTTAACAATTCTTCAGAGCAGCGACCAAATTTTAGTCCGTGTTGGATGTAATTTCATGAATGTGGTGCATTAAAATTCATGTATGACAAGCCTCCGTGTACTAGATAAAAGATATCTAACCATAATAAATGTATTTTTCATGTGAATTCGCAATAATATGTGGTAAAGGAAACCTTCAACGGTCACAAACACAATGTCATGCAATGAGATGCTATGCGCAAGTTTATACAATATGTAGCAAGAGCATGACTATAAATGTGCATCTTTAATAATTGATATGAATGCAAAGTAGTATGAAGCGTGTATGAAGTAGAAAAAGAACTGCTTTGGTTCAACAAACAAACAAAACATCATCATCAACAACAACAACAACCACAGCAGCAATGTAGAGGCAGTGATGGAAATTTCAGATTACAATGAAGGCTTAAAACTGTTGAATATCAAAGAGATTTACGAATAGACACACAGGAAAATGTAAGAAGAATGAAACAAAAAAAAATGCTGCCGCTGCTAATGCATTTTGCTTTTTTTGCGGTTTATTTGTACTTGTTTTATTTTTCTTTTGAAATATATGTATTTCACACATACAGACAATTCGCGTTCAGAAAAGAATTCAACTCACTGTAGCGAGTTGTTAAATGGCATCACAAGTCACAAAGGCATTAAAATAGCCAACAACACAGCGTTGCAACGCCAAACGAACGGATAGAACTTGGTGTATTTGCCATTTAAGATGTGTGTAAGTTTCCAGCGCGACGTTAACCAGAACGGTTTTTGCGCCGCAAATTTCATGTGCAACTGTTCTGCCAGTAAGTGGATTATATACTTTGTATTATCATTAAGTAATGAAAACCTAATTATGCAGAACGAAGATCGTAAACGAAAAATGTGAGCTATATTGTTGTGTGTGTGTATGTGTGTTGAACATGATACATTCGCCATGATAATGGGGATAATAAAAATAAAACCACTTACGAAATTCCGAATACGAAATTCAAATGTGTATGTGTATGTGTTTGTGTTGTGGATAAACTTTTCGACAATCGAAACAAAATGGAACCAATGAAATCAATGTGACTTTGTAATGTCACATCTCTAAACAACACGAAACAGTTCATTCAATCGAAAAATAACGGATGCACTCAATTGTCTTTGAAATTACACACTTTGTTAATGTTCAGTGTGTTGTGTATTTGTATGCATTTTCATGGTTTGTTTTTTTTTCTCGTTTCTTTTTATCAACATCCATCTTGAAACCACGGTTTTTATATCAATGGCATAATATAATATAATATTATGCTACTCGTAGATTTCACGCCTATTTCTACAGCATGTAGAATAAACTTTGGTTCGAATCGTTCGAGACCGCAGTCAGCCTCATATTTTATCACATATTTGTATTTACAATTGAGAGTTTCATTTTCTCGGTGCAAAAAATGCAGCAGTTTTCGCTTACACTGAGATCAAATATACATTGTGAGTTTCAATTTGAGATATACCCTTTTTGATCTTTCCATACTAGTATGTCGTGCTACTTTTTTCTTGCTGGTATCTTATTGAACGCTCCCCATTTTATCCTTGTATTTTAATAATTTTCATGTTATTCTAAGGGAGAGAAAAAAACGTGTAAGAAGTAACATGGTGCCAATTGAGGCGGCCGTTGATAGAATATCAGTGATTTGATCGCTTGAACTGGAAGAGATGATGTGGAAATAATCTGAAAATCGACTTGCCATTCCTGAATCGATTCCGATATGTGAATGTTTGTATGTGTGTGTTTGTGACTGTTTGCGTGCTTTTTTGCGCATTGTTCTCTCCTATTCTTCGTCTCCGAATGGAAGCTGTTTAAATTGTTCTTCATTTTTCGTCAAATCCAAAAAATACTGGCAAATACGAGTATTCGAATAAAACATGTTTTCATTTTTGAATACGTATTTCTCCTCGATAGAACACTACAAAAACATGTCAATGTTATCCCGTTGTGTACACACGTACATACACATTTCGATTTAGAAAGAAAAAGAAACCGAAACGATAACCGTGGGAGTTCAGATAACAAAAGAAAATTAGGTATATTGCCAAAAAGGAATGTGGCAATGTGAAAGATTCTTTTATCGTTGCGTCTACATATATACGAAAAATAAGCGAGCTTATTTCACATATTTGTATTGACAGGTCTTGGGTCAGATTTGACGATGTTACAGTTTTACGCTCTCAAAACAAGTATATAAAAATAAATTGGGAAATATTGGAAATTTATCCTTGCGCCTTGATTGAAAATGCCATTATTTTACTATCGGAACTAATGGAAAATGACAGCATGTTTCTACCAAACAAATGTACCAAAATATTTTGATAGACTACATTTTTGCTGGTTTATCCATTCCAAATTTGAAAATAAATTGATTAAAACTTAAAAACTTGCACTAGTGCTTCTGAATTAACATTGATCTATGGTTGATGGAAATGTATGTGATTTTGTGCCGTATTCGTTTACAAGTGAAATGAGTAGAATAAAAGACAGATGCATTTGCTGTATGTTTTGAACGATGTGGAATTGAAATCAGTAGATTTGTTTAATATTGTGAACATTGAAGTTCAAATAGAAACATTTATGTATTCCAATTTACGGAGAAAACTTCCTCAAGTAGCGCAATATCCAAATATTTCATTATAATTGTGCACTAGCAAATTTGAATGTATTAAATGCATTAGCATGTGAAGACCATTTCTGTGGCAAAAAAATAAACTTATAAGATGCTCGTTTTGATTTAAATGCAACAAATAAATTTCTATATAAATTGGCAGTTATCAAAATCGAATATCATTCATCAGGAGAACATTTAATAATGAAACTTGGATGATTCTTGTGTCAGAAGACAAACTACAAATGCAACTTTTAATATGTACGTTATATTTGAATTTTGAATGACCTTTCACTCAAATTACTGAACCATTTCATTTTCCTTCCTAATTGTCCAACTTCTTCAGGTTTTTGTAAATATATTTTTTTATATATAGAATATTCAAATATTTCTTACCTTTATCATTTATTCTGGACGTTGTCAGTAATCTGATGCATTGAATCCAAAGTAAAGACTACAGAATACAAATAGCAGAAAACTTAATTGGAGAAAACCTCGATCTCACTGATGTTCACAAAAGAAGTGGTCTGAAAGTGTGTCTGTTTGTGCGTGTGTGTCTGGTTGTGCATAAATATTGCTTAAATTGAACTGTTTTCAGCGGAGACTCAGCTTTAATTCATTCCTTAATCCCTTTATGCTGAAGTAAAAATGTATGACACTATTCGATTGGTTTCAAAACTCATTTCGCTGTGACTTTTAGAATTGGTAATTCATTTCGTTTGTAAGTTATTTCATAGAATATCACCAATATCACTTGAAAGATTTTCCTTATGTAACTTTTTCATTTTTTGGACAGTTCATTCTTCAATTATGATTGTTCAAACTTCACTTATTTCCAATGAATTTTCATCAATTCGAAGCAATGTTCAGCCACTCGATTTTTTGTAATGTGTCTCCAAATACACTCACTTTTGATAGTTCATCGACGTTCAAAAAATCATCATAAGAATATTATTGTTGGCTTTGAACACTTTCAGACATGCACAGTTTTCTTTTCAAATGATAATAATGCGTTATTTTTCATTAGATCCGCAGGAATATAAATAAAATATCGTTTCGAAATAAATTGAATGGTTTTTTTTAGGTGTTGTAGCTGGTGTTGGATAAATATACTTCGACAAAACGAAAAATGACACGAGACGTGCGTGCGTTTTGGTTGACTACAAAATGTGAACTAACTACATTTCACTGGATGGCGTATATTTTATATGGCCATAGAACTGTAATGCTTGCGACAGCCGTATAGCGTCGACGCTGTGAAGTTGAAAGAGAGCCATGAACAAGATGCGGACAGCTTTGGAGCGAAAAAAAGGGAGAATGCAGGTGGTAAACATGCATGATGATGCGTATGGGCGCGAACTGTGCCGCATATGTCGGTGAGCGCCCTGCGTGTTTGACGCATTTTATTCTCTTCTGCACCATTCCAACTAATACTTTTGCATCTTTTATGTGAACATGGAACGCGATTGTGTTTTATATTTCTCACTGGAATTGGTTTGAAAACGAATTCTAAACGGATATGTTTTAGCTATTCGTTGGGTGACGCATGAGCAAAATAGTGTGAGCAAATAGCATCGAATGTCGCATCGGATGAGTATGAGCAAATGAGTTCTACAGCGCGCATATAATGCTACTTGTGGTTTGACTGTTCTCATTTTAAATGGTACGCGTATACTGAATTTTCGTTGAGACATAAGACTTCCATTCGGTTGGCATCTTGTGCTGATAATTTTATTTGAATTCTTGCATTGAATCGAGATTGCATGATTCGGTGTTTCTTTTTTTTTCGCGAGAAAACAACACACAGAATAAGTAAAAAAGGGCCGACTGAACCGAGAGAGGACTTGGTTGAAATAACTAAAAAATGTATATTGACAAAATTGAGATACTTTCGTTCCCATTTTTTTGCTTTGCTTTGCTTTGCTTTGCTCAAGAAATCGCATTCGCTCGCTTATGTACTTTCTACCATGTCAATTACACGTTTTCGCTGTTTCTGCTGCAAAATGCTCTTTATGTTTCGTATGCTTTTCTCTCTTTTTGTGCACCACATTTTGTATATGTTCGCCGCACTTTTTTTTCCTCGCTGCTGTTGTGTTAAAAGGCCAGCCATGTATGTGTTATTTATTGTTGTACAGTGTTGTGTTTTTTCCTGCTGGCTTTTGTTATTATTTTGAAGTGCACGATAAATTTCTTGCACCGCTGAGCGTTACTTTACCTGATCTCAATGCCAACGGTTTAAGGTTTTGTGTGAGTTGAAGCGTTCATTTATTATTGTATGCGCAGTTCCTCTGTGTTCTTTATTCTTTCTATCTTCATAAGCGTGTGCACTGTATACACTGTACACGCTTTGGCGAGTAGTGAACTGAATGTTAGTTAAAGGGTATTGTATGTATGAACTGGACTAAATTGCCATTATTAGGCGAAAGAAACGAGTCAAAAATCATTTACTGCAATACTCTTTACCATGAAAAATTAAACATATAGTTTTGATGGTGGAAATTGTGTTGATCTATGCTGATGATTTAATAAATATTTTATTGCGCAAGAAAATCAAATTTCATTTATTTTTAATCGTAAAAGAGACACACATATTAAATAAACTTGGTCATTTTTCCAGTGGAGCAATGAACGCATAAAATATATACGTTTCAAAAATAATTTTTTCTGTATAGAAAAAAATTTCTTCAAAATGTAGAAAATGACGCTCTCTTCAGCTGCAACTGATTCGAAGAGATCATTGATTTATATCCATGCTACACCATTTACTTTGCGGAGAGAATGTCCAAAAGCATAGCAACTGATTTATCATCAGTTCAGACACATAGTTTCATATGAAGTAATATTATTCCAACAAGAAAGTATCATGCAAAATACCAACGGAAAAAAAAGAGATATGTGTTTGACCATATATTTGCAATGTTAATAATAAAATGCCTCTTCTATATCATATGATAAGAATTCATAGAACTTTTGACATTTAGAATCAAAAAAAAAGAGAGACGACGAAGAAATCCGCAAACTGGTTTTGAAAATGATTTCTATTAAAACCGAGAAAAATGATAATAAAAAAAAAGCAAACTATCACGAAAATAGCTCTATATATATGTGTATATAGTGAAGAGATACACAAGGTAACCAGAGCAGGGAAATTAAATGAAAGAAGTAAAGAAGACAAAATCAGAATCACAGAAAATTCAAAGTGCAATATATAATTTTCGTGAGAAGCACACCTGCCCATTATTATGAATGTATATCAGTTCCTTCATTCTCCTTCATCCGCTTCTTACTTTTGTTGTCTCATTATCGTTATTTTACTGCAGACAGATACACCAACCGACCGACCGACCAACCAACCAACAAACTAACCAACGTGCTACGCTATATGTGGAATGCCGCACATTTAAGATACCTTTGCCGGGCTGGACATCGGTACATACGAATGAAGCAATATCTTTAATCATTCGTCGCTGTGAATCTGTCGATGCTTATTTCACAATACATACATGCGTTGCAAGTGTACGCGGTTATTTGCATCTCTTTGCCAGTAAGCTCGGATGTATTACGGCGATCTGATATACTTGAATTATTTCACTAATTATGTTTCTCTCTCCGTGTCTCTATCTCTATCTGTCTCATTCTCCATCTCTCTCTCTCTCTCTCTCTCTCTCTCTCTCTGCCTGTCTATCTCTCACTCCTTACTACTATAGGTAATGTAAATTGGTACTATTTATTCTCTCTTCGTTGTTTTAGCTATTTGAAAAATTTGTGCATTTTCTACGTCCTTTGCTTTTATTCACAGACACAGCAATACTGATCCGTTCTTCTCCTCTTTCTATCGATATCTATACGGCAACCATTGTGTAATCGAATTCTTTTCGATAAGTTAGAGTTTCGAATTTTGTTTTACATTTGTTTCTGTGAGACTAAAGCATTCAATTTAACCACAGTTATGTCGTCTCAGGTTCATGTGCTACAGACAATTTCTTAAAACTGACTATGGGGCGTGATAATTTATGCGAAATGGTAAACAGCTTGGAGTGTGAACTAGAAAAATTAGACCTGAATGCTAAGAATAAAAACATTCGCACTTTTAAGGAGGATTTGTATCCATTTTTCCGAAAATATCATGTGAAATTGGGCGTTTTTGGAAATTGGGAAAAGTCAAAGAACATACGAGAGCATAACGCAGCCATACTGATTGGGTCAAGTTTGAATCGTGGATGAATGTGAGAAGTGAACCACACTACAAACATGACTTTTCTGAAAAGTTGTATTCAACTCTTCTGCTTTGTTTTCTATCTCTATTGTGAAATATATGTATATATGCGGACCAACTGAATTTCCAATTTAAAAATACATTTCTATGTATTTTTGCGTTAGTTTGGAAATGTAAGAGCATGGGGATACGAAAAGCAAGAGGCGAAAAAACTTGATCCGCAAAAAAAAACAAAGACGAATAAGAAATGGAAGCACATTCAGAGATAATATCGGCATTGACAGACACACTGTGCTGAGGTCAGTGACTAAAGAACTGTTAAAAAGCGGTGAAAAAAGCCGATAAAATTGTTCAAACATTCAGAGAAGCGGCACGGAAGACAATACTCTGGAGAGTTTTTTTTTCAGTTGTTTTCCATAGGCATAGAATAAAAAAAAATGAAAATAAAAACCGAATTCACTATGGATATTTCGAAGTTCCCTGTGGTTGAAACTGTTATATGGATTTGGTTTGTTTGGTTGGTTGGTTTGATAAGCCGTATTATATGTTAAAAAAAATTTAAAATTTTATTTCGGATTTTCATTTTATTTAAAACAGAAGATAAATCTAATGTGGATCAGGGCTCTGAAATTGACTGGATTCGCCCGCTTGAATATATTTGAATCGTGCTTAATAGAGTCAAGAGCAATCGTCAGTACTCTTTGTGAATGTTATCTCTTCTCATCGAAATTCACACTGCCTTACAACATCAAACCAATGAAATGACTGTCCACTTGGTTGTATGAATGCACTTTATCGGTACAATGTACGTATGTTTCTCAAACCAAACAAAATGGTCAATAATTCGGATCCTGTGCATATTTCCCTAAATATTTTCAAACAAACCAACAGTCTTTCGGACGAGAAAAAGTTATTGATTCTGTAAATAGGAACACAATGTAACTTTCTTGCTGCTAAGCTTCTTAGACTGCTTCAGTTACGATATAGCGTTGTTCAAGCTATTTGCTGGTGAGTTTCTCGGTAAATAGGTGAACCGATGTATATTGTTCTAAAAAGAATCGAAAACAAAATAGGGAAAGGAGTTATTGGAGTCTACTGTACTTGACTAAGTAAAAAGTATTCCAGTGCTTCTGATTGTCGTTGATGTCGTGTGCTGCAAGTCTGGTCTATGGAAATTGACTGACAACAACATTTAGTTGTTTTCCAACGAAGTTTAGAGTTTAAAATAAATAAAACAAAGCGACTGAAATGAAACTCAACAACACAAAAAGCGATTTCATTTCGCGTTTCTCGTTCGTTTTTCATTTAGTTCAAGAAATTTATTGAACATGAGATGGGAACTATTGTAATGTTTTCCTGGTCTAATATTGCCAAAATATGCTTTGTGGTTAGATTATGCGAAATATTTTCTTCATTGAAGCCAACTCATACCAAAATTATGTAGAGAACAGAATGGCCATAAATTATTATGTGGCCAATTTTACTTTGCCTACCTGAGATTGCTGCGTCTACGTATCGAATGGAACCAAAATATATTTAAACGAAATCGAATAAAATCGAGGCTTCAACCACACCAAAAATCCTAAATACGATTACAATTCATTGATATTGCATGAGCATCAAAAGAATTCATTTTTCAGCTGTATCTATTGTGGGGTGCTTACAAAATAAAGTAGTCCCAGGAAAAGTATCTTTTCAAACAATGCATCAAGTCAAAATTTATGGCTCTGATAAATAAAAAGGAGCTACGATGCTCAAATGACAATATACCAATAAAAATATTTTTTTTTCGAATTCATTGGATGTCCTTTATTGAAATGTCAACGAGCAGCTATCTTAAAATTCAACTTCGATCTAAAAACAATTTAATAGATAAAATTGTGTGAAACATTTGCTACTTTCATCTCAAGGACTTCATTCGATAGATTAATTCATTGCAGTGAAAAGATTTGCAAACAAAAGAA